TAAATTTAAATTTTTTACTTTTTTATTAATTTATTTTGATTTATCAATAATCACTTCCAAAAGCTTTTGAATTTAAAATTTTTCTTTCCCTCCATCCCCCCTCCCTCCCCAAGATGGCGAGCAGTCTGATATAGGCTCTACATATACATTCCTATTAAACATATTTTCACATTAGTCATGTTATAAGGAAGAATTAGAACCAATAGGAAGAACCACCAGAAGAGGAAGCAAAACAGAAGAAAAAAATAGCAAATAGTTTGCTTTGATTTGCATTCAAACTCTATAGTTCTTTCTTCGGATGTAGATAGCATTTTTCTGGATGCCCTTTGATTGTATCAGAGGATAGTAGATTTAGAGTTTTTGTGAATCATTTCTAGCCATGGAGATGCCGGGTAGCCTTGGGTAGACCTTAAAACTAAAGAAAACTTATCAATTAACGAGTATAAATCTTGAGTAACAACATTGTGTTATATTTATCTTTATTGACAAAGGGACTTGTTCATTAATAAAACATTTTCAGATAATACCATCAATAGATTTTAAAACTTTCTCAGTACATGAAATATTATTTTTCTTTCGTTATCTCTCTCATAGTGTCTAATAGTTTGCTTTTTATGCTGTGAATGCTCAATTAAAATGGGTAAATTAATTGGGATTTCAGTTCGTTTCCAGATAATTTTATTTTAGGTCTTTTAATTTATAAAAATCTCTTTTCTCTCCCTCCTAGAAAAAGCAAACAACAACAAACAAAAACAAAATCTAAAACCCTTGTAACAAATGTGCATAGTCAAGAAAAGCAAATTCCCCCACTGACCATGTTCAAAAAATATATGTGTCTCTTTCTCTCCCCTGTGTCATCACCTCTTTGTCAGGAGGTGGTTGGCATGCTTCATCATGGGTATTCTGGAATTGTGGGTGGTCATTGCGTTGACTAGATTGATTGATTTTCTTTCAAAGTTATTTGTCTTTACAATGTTCTTGTAGAGATTTTACTCCTGGTTCTGTGTATTTCACTCTGCATCAGTTCATACAAACCTTCCCAGGTCTCTGAATTTGTCCTTTTCATCATTTCTTATAGTACAATGTATTTTTACATGCATACACTATAATTTGTTTAGCCATTCCCCAACTGATGGACACCTTCTTAGTTTCCAATTCTTTGCCAGCACAAAATGAGCTGCTACAAATGGTTCTGTACATAAGAGCCCTTTTCTCCTTTTTTTGATCTCTTTGGTGGTATCACTAGGTCAAAGGATATGTGTAGCTTAGTACCTTTTCCAGAATGGGTGTATCACTTCCCAGCTCCACCAACAGTGCAGAAAACAGTGACCTGTTTTCTCACAGGTCACTCAACATAAGATGTTATATTTTTGTCAGCTTTGTTACTCTGATTGGTGCAAGGTGGAACCTCAGAGTTTCTTTAATATGCATTTCTTAAATTATTAGTGTTTTGGAACAATTTTCTTATGGATATTGATGGCCTGGATTTCTTCCTTTGGAAACAGCTTGTTCATGCCCTTTGGCCATTTATCAATTGGAGAATAGCTCTTATAGATTGGAATCAGTTACTTATAGATCTTGGAAATTAGATATTTATCAGAGAAATTTGTTACAAAAATTTTCCTTCCTATTCTTCACATTTATAATTTTGATCATTAATCGTTTATTTCCCTCCATCTTACTCTCCTGTACATTTTCTTTTTTGCTTATCACCCTTCTTTACAAAGAACAATAGGATGGTAAGCAAGAAAGAGTGTGATTAGCTTTCCCCCCTCTTCCTTCTCTCCTGTTTTCCTGTTGAGCAAATTTATTTTTGCTTCCTCCTGTGCATTGCATGTGCATGCACATGTGTATGTGTATGTTCTACCCTCTTTTGACCAATTCAGATGAAAATGAATTTCTGGTGTTGCTCAGTCCTCCACCTCTTCCTCCTTCTTTGAATAGCCTTTGACTTGAACACACCAATTATGTGAGAGAATTTTTTATATGCTTTCTCTCCCACCTTCTTCTCTGATTTGTTCCTTTCTTCCTCCCTTTCCATTCTTCTTTTAAGATCATCAAAACACCATCAAGTCACTTCTAGGCCCTCTGCCTCATTTAACTCCTTCCATGACCCTTGATGATATTTTAGGGTTCTGAGCAGACACTTGTGTCACCTTTCTTATTTGAATGTAATCATTTCACCCTGGTTTGTTGTTTAGTCATTTGGTCGTGTCCAACTCTTTGTGATACCAGGAACCATCCCATTCATGAGGCTTTCTTGGCAAAGATACTGGAGCGTTTTGCATTTTCTCTTCCAGTGGATTAAGGGAAACAGAGGTTAAGTGACTTGCCCTGGTCACACAACTTGTGAGTGTCTGAGGCTGGATTTAAACTTAGGTCTTCCTGATTTCAGGCTCAGCTCTTTATCCCTGAGGGATCTAGTTGCCTCCTCACCCTTGTTTAATCTGTTCTTATAGCTTGTTAGTATTTACCTTTTTATATTTCTTGACTCCTGTATTTGAATTTCAAAGTTTTACTCAGCTCTACTCTTTTCATCAGGAATGCTTGGAAGTTCTTTATTTCATATAAAGTTTATTTCCTCCCTTGTAGAGATTATATTTAATTTTTGCGGGAGAAGTTAATTGGTTTTAAACTTATTTCATTTGCATTTTTTTGACTATGCCTCCTTTGTTGTGATTTTTTTTTTGTTTCCTGACTGCATTCAGTATTTTTTCTTTGACCAGGAAGATCTTGATTTTTTATGTTGGCATCCTTGAGAATTTTCCTTTAGGGGTTTCAGGAGGTGATTGATAGATTTTTCTATTTTCACTTTGTCCTTTATTTCTAAGAGATCTGCTAAGTTTTCTTTTATTATTTCTTGAAATGTGATGTATTGGGTTTTTTTTTGGTCATATGTTTTCAGGTAGTCCCGTGATTCTTAAATTTTCTCTTCTTGACCTTTCAGTTCATTTATTCCTGTCATGAGATAAGATGTTTTCTTCAGCTTTTTTCAGTCTTTTTGATTTGGTTTTAATATTTTTCATTGTCTCATAGAGTCATTTACTTCTATTTGATCCATTTTAATTTTCATAGAGTCTTATTGCTTGTCTAAGGTTATTTGTACCTCTTGTACTGTTATAATTCTCTAAGTCTGTAGTGCATTGCTCTCATTTCTTTTCCAGTTCTTTCTAGCTCTTTCATTTTACTTACAAAATCATTTTTAACTCTTCCTTTTTAAATTCTTGCTTCATTTCTTCCAGGAATTTTGGGGTAATTGTGTCCAAGCATCGCTTTTCTTTTAGGCATTGCTTATAGGTGTTTTGGAGTCATTTTATTCTTTTGGATTTGTGTCTTGGGCACCCTTGTCACCATAATCGCTTTTTATGGTGGGATTCTTTTTTTCTTTACTCATTCCTCCACATTTATTTACCAAATTGAAAGTTTGTTTTAGGGCCAATCTCTGTGTACTTCTGGAGAAGGAGCATCTGAGTCTTGCTTGTATCTTTTTTGTATTCCCTTGGGTCCTATTTTCTTGGGGATGTTGAGTGCTATGTGCTTTAGGAATTTCAGGGGTAGTGTAGGCTGTGGACCTGCAAATTTTCAGCATACTCAGAGTTATCTGAGCCAAGGATGATTGTAGCCCTTCTGGTTTGAGCTTCACAAGCTCCTGACCCCAGTTTTGATCTTGACAAAACAACTGTGGGACTGCCTCTCGTTGGAGCGCTAGTAAACTATCACTGTCAACTAGCTGGGATGGACTTCTTCCCTGATTATTGCAGTGAAGGTATCAGACTGTGTTTGGGGCTGCATCTGAGACTTGACCTCTCCAGGATCACAGCTGTACAGTTGCTCCTCATTTTTGTTCTTGATCTTGGCCCAGTACACTGAAGCCTCAGGTCCTGTGACTGCTCCATGCCCTGGACAACCACCCCCACCCCCTGTCCCCCCAACACCCACGCAGCCCTGGTACTCAGCCTTATTGCACTGACAGAGCTTCCTGTTGCCGCATTTTCCTGCTCCCTGAACAATGTTAGGCCCATCGATGGCTGGATTCTGTACCTCTTCTTGCCCTAGTGCACATCTGCAGGTTCCAGTTCAGTCTTTGTGCTTCAGGCTTTGCATGGGAATCCCAGCTGGCCCTGTTTTCCTTGTCAGCAGGCCATTTTTTTTTTTTTGTTTGTTTGTTTTTGTTTTTTTTTTTTTGGTGAGGCATTCGGGGTTAAGTGACTTGTCCAGGGTCACACAGCTAGTAAGTATCAAGTGTCTGAGGCTGGATTTGAACCCAGGTCTT